TTTTTTTTTGTTCACAACAAGATACCGATGTACCTATTGTCCAGAAGCAAACTCTAAGTTTGACCCTAAAAATCCTAAAAATTTTATTTTTCCAAGAAAACGCATGGTCATGTTTATTTTTCTAGATTCTGCATCCACTCAGTATGACACCACAGAAAATACTACAACAACGACATCGATCTCCGTTGGAAGTACCGCGACGACGACAGCAATTCTCATTGAAAGTACCTTAACGACAGTGTCTCCAACAGCAGGAACCATAGAAGGTAAATGACAACAGAAAGTTTCACTACATTCACTTCACGTAAGCTTGAAGTGCTTGTATGCTTGTACGTCAGTCCATGCGAAAATCTTCTCATGTTCACACCAATGGTGCAGAAAACACACTGCACCCTGAGGGTGTTTCCGTCAGGAGGAGTTCTAGAAGGCAGGTTTGTGTGATATTAAGGATGACACCGATGCAGTTCAGGTCTTAACATGGGTTTCTACTTCGCCGATAGATAATTCCCATCATTCGATAGCGGCTAATATCGAGTTGCGGCATATTTGAACAAGTAATCACTACACTGGGTACAAAAGATCACGCGGTCCTTATAAGAATCATATGCCCAAGACGTGATTAGACGGTCTTCTAACTCGATCTTTTTGAAAGCTGTGCCTATGCACAATGTTTAGCATCGTCTTTCCGAACAAGTTTGTTATATGTAGTAGCTTTGCTTGGGCCGGTCGACGTTGCGAAAATATCGTCGTCATCTTCAAGAACTCAAAAGTAATTCGAAGCGCTCAATCTGGGTTCATGCGGTCGATCGCCCAAACGCATCAGACCAGTCGCAACATCTCTCAGGAACTCGGACACAGAAGATCCCAAAGGGGAATGACCAACCCTCCACGGCTCCACCAGCGTTGACGTCCCACTCGATTGAATGGACAAGGGACGAATGAGCCTAGTATAACGATAAGATACTGAATACGAGGTGGTTTCAAAATCAACAAAGGAATAGAGGAAATCACCAGTAATGCCGACTATTGCGTTCTTATACGAATATGTCGAGCACCGTTTTCCTCTCAACAACGGATAGGACTGCACGGCCATTATAGGTGAACTCCTCCTGCTCATTCGTTTCTGGAGATTCCCATATCACCGCGTACTCCTTGCATTACTGTTAGTGATGTCTCATTAGTCCATGTTTGTTCACTCAATCGAGTGAGACTCCCACAATGGTGGAGCCGCAGAAGGTTGATCGTTCGTTGTAATCTTCTTTGTTGGACGGTCGGCTACACTTGGGCGCTTGACCGTATAAGCACAGATGAAGAGCCCATATCAAACTGATTTTAGGCCCTTGATGACATCGAATTGTTCGAAATCTGATCGAGCGAAGTGGTTCTAGATATACGTTATATGTGGGGCTTGATATATTCGTAGCCGAAGAAGTTCAGGAAAAGATTTTATTGATTAGGAGAAGAAAGCTGTATTCAATGATAATCTAGTAAGAACAAAGGGTTCATGTAGCACCTGACCCGGTCATAAATAACGAACATAAGAACAAATTAAAACATAGGATTTGAGCGTCTATATAACACCGTAATTGACTGTGGCAGACTACACATAAGNCGCTGACGAATTTCCCCTTTTGAACAATACACAATATATCATCAAAAGTGAAATTCACTCGATCTTTCATTGCTTCCAAGCGAAAAACATGGAATTTCGCTCAAAGTCCAGAATGCGACTGCCAGACTAGGCTTTGCGTAGGAGTGCCTTTCTCGGCAGTCCTTCGTTCATGCCTCCGCGTTGTCAGGTTTCTTCTACACTTATGTCTTAAAAATTACATTCTTTTGGGAAAATTCTTTCTACACTTATGTCTTGAAAATTACTTTTTTTGGGAAAATTCTTGTTAATATTTATAGTCCCAGACGTGCTCACTCGGAACAAGACATCAAAGGAGGTTACGACGACGGCAATCACTTCCACTGAGAGTAACACAACGACAACGTCATCGACAACAAAAACAATGAAGGGAATAGGTGCTTCTATAAAATTTTATGTCTGATTGAGCTATTTCATAACGCAATATAATCAAGTATATGGCAAGAACCTTATTAAAAATGATCTTGAATCAATCGTGGCCCCATGGCATTGACGATTTTCCCTTCCGCTAGGTATGTACATCTTTTGTTGCATACATACTTAGTAGAAGTAGGGCTTGAATGGCTCGGGAGGTGTGTGCCGATGAATCGATGTGTCGTCCTGTTGGTGTGTTGGCGTTAGTCAACGGTAGGAAGCAAAACTATTCTCCGCCTCAGGGAGTGGAGCGTTAGCAAAATGAGCATTTCACGAATTGAAATACCAGCCGTCCTACAATATATAACCTGCTAATNATTGGAGAGTTCGATACCTCAAAAAGTTCACTGAGATGCCTTCCGGTTTGGGTGCTCTTCTCAGATTCATCATGTAGAGCGTGTTCTATCTCATACTTTTCTCCACGGAGCCATCTCCTATGTTGCCGTAAGGGCGTGGGGATCGGTAACGTAGAACGAAGAAGGTTCGATTAGTAGCTGACGGCAATCTACACGATATTCATTCTCGATTCCTGCATCACCGTGATGGCAGGCGATGATCATTAATATCCTGACGACATTGTTTGATGCTCGCTTTCGCTTCTGCCGCTTCCTTCGGTCGAGTGTTTTTGAATAGCTGTATCGGCTCCTTCACAGCGATGCAGCGTGTTCAACTTATCTGGTCCTATTTGTTGACCGAAACATGTTCCAATGGTGAGACGGTAAGTGTCCTTCCGTTGTTAGAGTAGTGTGGGTGTATTTTCACCTATCTTACTCGAAGAAATCATACTTGCTCACGCAGCCAATGCTGTCGCGCAGCGTAGAGGTCCTTCTACGAGCACGTCGTAGTCCCGTGACAGGTTCTTTGCCTCCTGTCACGTGTTCTGTGCGGTTTTAACCCCATGGCGCTTGTGTCGTACTACTGTAGTCATATGAGAAGAGGACGAAAATGGTCCCGTCTTTGGAGTTCCGTTTGGAGAAGACTTCTGACCGGGACGAGACTACGGTCGCTCAAATCCTCATAAAACCTCTTTTCTTCATCGGCTACTGTTGATGTTGGCGCATAACAGTGGAGAATGCTGATGGCGGTGCACTAGTAGATGCATAGGCAGAACATGGATAGTCGCGGGTCTAATACATGAGTCCATCAAGTGCTCGATTCGACGATGAACTAGGATTCCGGGTCACCGACGTCTCTTTCATCCACTTCCGCTCTCAGAGTGAGGAGGCGGTCATCGTTGATCTCTTGATGGCTGTTTCCTTGGTTTCCATCTCCCGAAGGGCGACGAAGTCGGAGCGAATCTTCTCGCTGACATTATTTGAGATGGTTTGCTTGAACGTTGAGGCAATAGTACGACAACTGTGGATAAGAAATCGATGCTTTGGAAGTGTTTCCTCCTGTGCCCTTCAAATCCTGCGGCGGTTTCCACCTGCAGGTCCCTTGAAGTCACCGTTCGCTTCAGTGCGCGTGCAGAATCTCATAAGGAGAATGATGTCACAACCGAGAAATAGACCAATTCCTTGAACTATTTGTGGGAACTACTCAACATGGGTCGTGTATTTGAGTGAGCTAAGTTCCCTGCAAAAAAACATCATCAGTGCCGCCATTATTTAGTCCACATTGGTGAACGCTTCGATTCCACTCATGAGTAAAAAAGCCATACATTTTATCGATTTAACACGCATAGTGCAGAACCAATACTCAATTTTTATTCCATCTTCCTTCCATCCCTCCAGGATCGGTGAGTTGGTACCAGACTCGTCTGGGAGGATAAAAGCACTGTCTTGTACATCGGCTGGTCACCGCAAGTCATTGTATGGGCCACATACGCACTCATTTCGCCACTACGATTCTGAATGGAAGTCGAGTGCGGGGGCGCATCCCTCAGACGGGATTGATTAACGCCAAAATCTTCATCTTTATCTTTATCTTATCTTTATCGATTCATAAAGAACAACAAAGTATCTTGAAAGGTTGCGTTTATAGGAACCGAAACAACCATCAGAGGGGGTGGACTTGACTACCATGAATACGTTGAAATCGAACAAGGAACGGGATCTAGCTTCATTGGAATAGGTTTGCCAATACTTCATTTATAATAGATGAGTTTCAATTGAAACAAGAATCATCAAATGCCTCTTATGAGAGCATCGAAAACCCTGTGATGAGTCTCTTTCCATACTTTTCCGGAAATGGGAATGGGAATTAGAGACACCTCACTGCGAAATTTTAAAATCACTGTCACGAGGATATTATAGTAATCAAGTAAAGTTTTAATCGGACACCCGTCCTTTTTGGGATGATCTCTGTCAGTGCCACGTAACTTCAAGCACATCGACGTGACATACAGTGCCAGACACATTCACAATGAGAGCATCTGTTGATATCTTATTCAAATACTGGTTACATGTGCTATAATAACTCCCGACAGGGTTTGATGACGTTCAGAAATAGAGATAGTGATCTCACAGACTTGATGAGTTACCGAGAGCGGCCTCACAGGCTGTCCATAAACAAGAGCGCAGTGCCCGGAAAGCATAAGTAGGATTCATACCCTTCTCCTGAGACTTTGGAGGCTCTCATGACTCTTCACACTGTCTTGAAAGGAACAAGGAGTACTTGAACACACCTTTGTGAAAGCTCAAACCTGGCTCGTCAGACCTCGGAAGTAACCGTGATATTGCCTGCCTCCACTGTCCTTCCAATGCAGATCGGAGAGCTGGAGTGTAGAAAGAGGCAACGCTTACATTCAATTTCTAATACTCATAATTTGAGTTGTCCTACAACCACCCTTCAGAAAATCGGAACCATCACGACTAGTTCGCATTCCTTTATATGTCAGCAGAACTGTTCATCATAAAAATTCAACATTTCTCTACAGTGGTGGAAGCTATAGAAATTTCAGAGGCGGTTATCATAACAGTGGGTATCAATATCGCGATTATTGCAATTTGCTTCATAGTAATAATTGGTATAATAAATTCTAAAAGAAAAAGAAGACACATGGAAGCCGATGCTCATCAAATGGTATTACATCATATGTACATACTACAGACACGATGAAGAAGTAGTTGATTTGAGGGACGGGGGAGGGGGTTTTGCACGGGATAACACTCACCCACTTAGGTGCTCTAACCTGTCAAGGGTTAGGTGGCAACCACATTTCTACTTCAGAAGCCGTCTTTAAAAATAAACTCAGTCACCCGTCCCTCGCTTCCAACTACATTCCCACCGCAGACACTCTTTTTTTAAAGTAATTCTAGCTAATTCCAGGTATACCAGGTTTATGACGACGTAATACCCGTAATAGAGGGTGAGACCCCTGTTTACGAAGAATCATCTCAACGGACTCCCGATGCTCACGCAAATGAAGACAAGAAATCGGCCGAAGACTCACAAAGTAACGATGCAATTGACACCAAGGGAGCCAAAGTCATAGCGGCTCCCAGCGATAAGCGTGCAAAATCGGCGTCGACGTGAAAGGAAAACAAAAGAAAATCCCAAAGAAATGCTCTAACATTTCAGCTTATAAATGTTTGCTAATTGTTTACATGCAATTCACTAATTTCTATTTACTAATTAGAAATCATTGTAAAAAGTAAAAAAGCACAAGTATGCAAAAGTTCAGATAAACCAGCAGATACCCGATCGGTTTGAGAAAGAACATAGGCGATTTGTGGGTGTCTNGTAATACCCGTAATAGAGGGTGAGACCCCTGTTTACGAAGAATCATCTCAACGGACTCCCGATGCTCACGCAAGTGAAGAGAAGAAATCGGCCGAAGACTCACAAAGTAACGATGCAAATGACACCAAGGGAGCCAAAGTCATAGGGGCTCCCAGTGATAAGCGTGCAAAATCGGCGTCGACGTAAAAGGAAAACAAAAGAAAATCCCAAAGAAATGCTCTAACATTTCAGCTTATAAATGTTTGCTAATTGTTTACATGCAGTTCACTAATTTCTATTTACTAATCAGAAATCATTGTAAAAAGTAAAAATTCCCAAGTATGCAAAAGTTCAGATAAACCAGCAGATACCCGATCGGTTTGAGAGAGAACATAGGCGATTTGTGGGTGTCTGCCTAACACTCTAGTAATTGTTTGATTGTTCGTTCCATAGACTGTACCTTTGGTTATTCGACCCCGAAGACCCAATTTTCTGGCACCTGAATGTAGTCCAAAAATATGACCGGTTTTCTGGGAACAACGAATAATAGAACCATTCTTGTCATATCTGCAAGCCTGTGAGTTTGTTTATTCGCATAGATCATCCAACGAAAGCAGTGCTTTCAACTTGGCAGCAACCTTACAACAGAATGGAGTAGCAATAGGCGAGAGTGTTAGGTCTGCCTCTCACTGAGTTGGACACTCTCAATCTTGACATTCATATTTCGATTAAAAGACACAGCTAGAGACCCACAAATTAACAGGAAGGAAGAGTGGCCGTAACCCGTGACCTCGCGCCCTTTCTCGACCTCTGCAAAATCCAATTACGGTGAGGTCAGGAAGGAGGTAGGCTCGCTCATTGGACGCATACTGTAAACACTGGGTGCTCGATCTAACGCTCCGGCACTTAGATCAAGGTAAGCCTCTTGTATACTGGGTTTAGGTGGTCTCTAGTCTAAAGAATTGTCTTGGGTTTATCTAGTCTTACTATAGAGTCAATCTCAATGGTTTTTCGACCTTTAGGCTCTGAAGAAGGCAAACTTGCCGGAATGTTAGCCCTGTAAAGTTTGAAATCTTGGAAAGGCTGAAGCAAATATACATACATATTAGTCAAAGGGATGCCAAGATTGAGACAAGGTCGATCGTGGTATATTCTACAACTAGTGATGTTGCTGATTTAGCGAAGAAACCATCCAAGATGGAAGTTGATCCGCGAGAAACCAATTTTCTCTAGATCACCTCGGGATGGGTGGCGGTACTTCTTCCCGAATCCCCACAGCAAGCGACTGCCGTTCGGCGGTGAACACTCCAGCGCGTATCTTCCTTCTTCCCCTTCATAACGCGCGATCGAGTGCGGCGGAGCGACGCGATTTTTTGGGAGAAGTACCCAGACCAACTCGAAATATCAGAAGTGTAACAATCACTGTTTACCAACCGGTAAAATAAAGACCTAACAAACTTCAAATTATAATACTATTATAAGGAGTTTCACTTGATTTCGAGGTCAAAAATGTTATTGTTCCAGTTTATGTTTTGCCTTCTCGGACACAGAAGAACCCTGGCAATTTCTTTTCATACTGTGCCTACATTTGTCGGGCCCAATCAGTCAATTGTTCAGAAGCTGCTTTTCATTTCTTCTCCTTCTCCTATTAATATATACTTACTGGATCTGGTCAAAACAGCATAGTGTTCTCCTGCGGTAGATGATACTCACTGAGACAAGGCAAAATTATGGAATAAAATGAATGCATCGAAAAAATTCTGTAGTTCGAGCTTCAAGGAGGAGACGACTTGTTGTGTTCAACCATTCTGAAGAAAAAATTAAGTAGGAATTGCTAATTCGCTTCCGAAGAATCACCATCTGCTATTCTATCTACCTTGCCACACGATCGAGAGCGGTAGATAGACTGACTTGAGTCACAGATGACTACCCACATTCTCAATATAAGCCATAGAGATTTCAAAATCAAAATCTCCTACTTCCAGACTTTTAACGCTGTGGCTAATATTGAAAACGTAGGCAAAGATCTGTGATTCAAGTCAGCGCTTCAAAGCCACGGTACAGTAGAAATGATTTCTGAGACCTTTCTTCAGGAATACCCATGATCCCCAAGAAGGAGGTAACAGGAAGGACGCTGTCGCGTCCCAAAACTCAACACCTAGGGCATAGTGGGAGCCCCGCTACCGGATCGTCCGAATGCCCCACCTTCGAACTGGTGATGTTTCCGACGAGTGTCGAGGTAAAACAGATTGCATTGCGAGGATCCATACACATTCAGCATGCAATCAGCTGATCGCCTAGTGATGAGACGATGTTTTCTCTTTTTCTATTAGTCTCTATCATTATTTTCGATGCTGCGATCCTTGTTTTGATTTCCTACCCCAAGAGGCTGATAGAGGTAGGTTATTTTTGCTGTTACTAGCGTGTTGACTAATGCTTATAAGTGACTGAATTTCAAGGGACATTTTTGCTCACTGCGGTCAGCTGTTCGCATTAGGACCTACACGTACGCAAGGACACACATTGTACAACTCGTACAGACGCCTCTTCTTCTTCATATTCTTGTGTCCTTCTCGTCCAGCCTCCTTCTTAACAATTTTTCGAAGCCTTGTTTCACTTTGGAAGCACCGATTCCCGCACTTGCTTTGCCTTCATCGCACTATTTTTCACCTTATAATCCATTTTCGTCACAATCTGGATTACCCAGTATTATCGTGGACTGTGTCTTTAATGCAGAAAATGTATGGAGGAACATTGCGAGATAAGCGGAACTGGCGAACCTTCCCAACTAGTCAGTTCGTTGATCCCGCATGTTTCTTCATACGATTAAACTTCTGAAGACTTCGATGTTCGCGATTCTCGACGATACAAATGAAGAGTGAACTACGGTGGAGCGATAGCTTCATCGTTTATGAAAGAGTTCGCGTTTTAGTTGAAGGGGTTCACTTTGAATCAGGTAAAAAACTGAGAAAGAAACTTCAGAAAGGAAAGGCCTCTCAGCGGGATCTCCTTTTTTCGATTAGAGTGTGAATGACAGTTTATGACTCCATTAGCGAAGCACATAAGGTTTGTGCATTCAGTCAGAACTTCGTGGTTCGTAGTTGTGAGCGCTTCAAAACTATAATCAGAGTTCTTTTACAAAAGCGCCTATAATGAGAAGAAAAGTCAAATCAATCTCTAGGCACTCCCCTTCTGAAGTATCCAAGGCGCACATGAAGAGTTTTAGTTAAAGAATGGAGAATCCCTCAGTAAAAGGCCCCGAACCAGCTGCTCAATCGCCATCTGTAGAATTCGCGGAACTTCGGACGTCCCATTACTCTCATGCGCTGTGAGGCCAGCAGCAGCCTTACTGTAGGTCACATCATTATTAGTGCCTACAGGGCACCAGTCGGCTCGAATAATGTCGGACAACATCAACGGCAAAACTTCCCCTGTGGAACCTACTGTTAACTCCGGGCTCATCCAAAAGTAGAATGTAGGCATAGTGAAATGTTCTACTAGTGGAGATTCCCAGTCAAAAGGCAAACCCTTCCATGTGGTGTACGGAAATCTCCAAACTCGAAATCAACTTTCGCGACTGATTTCGTCCAAGACTCCCGTAAAACCAGTAACTATCGCATCTAGAGACTCTTTTCAGTTGTCCAGTCGTCTAACCACATTTTCTCTGCAGAAAAAAGGTTTGGCCAGGTGTTGAGTAGTTGCCCCCAGCTCGTATCTGCTAGACCACTTCCAATCAAGTGAGTGAACGGAATGTTGCGGAAGAAGGTCAAGCGTTGCTGATATACAACTGCTTTGAGTTGTTTTGTAGATAATATTTGTTAGGGGTTACTCAGTTGGAGAGGTTCATTTATCCTCGTTTTGCCTTGAAATGGTACCTGTTTGATTTCTTCTCTGCCATAAGCTGATTGCGGACATCAGAACACGTTCCAAATTTCAGTTATGGAGTCGCGGACCATCCAGATCGCTCGCACTTGCAGTATTTATTCTTCTGAACTTCGATACGATAAAA